TTGACTTCACCGTCTGCATCTTTTCCAATCTGCCTTCAGCATGCTGCTGAAATTATTATAAAGCTCACAGCCTGAAGGGAGGAAATCATGGCATGGACTGAGAGGCTAGTAAAGCACTCCCTTTATCTGTGTGAAGGTTTGCTGGACAAACAAAGAAAAGAGAATTAAATTGGTTGAAGTCCTGATGATTGTGGAGCCACAGTTGGTTTCAGTGAATAAATTTCAGGAAGGAAGTTATAAACCTTGGAGCAGAACAACTGAACCATTTATTAGTTCTCATTAAAATTAACAATACCTTATTCAAAATTTTGGGTGTGATTCCTTGGATACTAGTGCTGGGGATTTTACCTTCCAGCATGCTAACTTTAATCTTCCTACTTTCTATTGTGCAGTAACATATTACAATAGACACATCAGCATTGTAATTGTCAAACTCGGCAAAAAAAAGGTTTAAATATCTAAAGTGCTTAACGGCAATCAGTTGGGAAATAAGCATCCTTTCCTAACTTGCTGCCTTCTAAATATATAGGGATCAAAATTGTGACATATCCTACCTAACATAGTCATTGGCCCATTGCTTCTTGGAAATTCTATGATACACACTTGGAAGGTCTCAATATGTGTTTTGATGATCTCAGTAAATATACATTAAAACATTAATCTTACTCATTTTTCCCCAACTCCGATTGAGACAGTGGTCATCTAAACATCTAGAACAGGGGAGGAAGTTTTATAAATGTTTGGACTTATGATAGGCTTTATTTCTGGGGACAAGCAAAGATCACTATTAATTAGCAGAAATACTTAGTTATTTTAGTCTGAGAAGTTGTTATTGTATCAACATTTGTGAAAAATCTACATTGTCTTATTTTTTATTTTGGCAAATGGTTTGTAGATCCCATAGTTACAGAGAGGGGAAGGCAGGCAGACAGGCAGGGAGGGAGGGAGGGAGGAAGGAAGGAAGGATTAATTCACTATCCTTAATAGCTCTTCAAAGTATTTAAACCTTTTATAATTATTACCAAATAAAATATGGTATCAAATCTGCCACAGAAACATAGACAGATTGTGCTAACTCAAGAAATTATGTTATGCAGAACATAACATGAGAAGAACATTGGAAAGAAGAAAAAGAAAACAGTATACTTGCTTCAAGTTCTCTATTTTATGTTCAGGCTGGTAAGAATTAAATAGGGATAGAGCAGGGATGTCAAACTCAAGGCCTGGGGGTTGGATCCGGCCCATGGGGTGCTTACGTCTGGCCTGCAGAGCCACTCTGGAAATAGCAAAGGACCAGCCTGCAGTGCCTCTGCCAAGGAAAATGGAGCTCGGGAGATCTGCATGCCGCCCTCTTGAGCTCCATTTTCGCTGGCAGTGGGTTGCAGGAAGCCATCACAGCTGAAACAGAGCTCGGGAGCCAGTTTTTGCTCAGGCCACTACAGGCGTCCCTGACATAAGTGACATCAAGCTGGCCAAGCCAACCCCAGCCCCCCAAAGTCAAACAATCCTGATGCAGCCCTCAATGAAATTGAGTTTGAGCTAGAGCAACTTGAAGCTTATTTTGTATACATTAATTTTGGATTCATTCTAACATATATTTTTATTCTTTGATAATCACCTTCCTTTATAAAAGTTTCAAGTTTTGCTAAGTGATGCTCTAGTCAAAACACTCCAAAACACATGTCCACATACTTCAATTCTTGTAATTCTGCAGCCTGACGGGAGAATGGTGAAAGAGGAATGTGTGCATTTCTCTACCTTTGCCTGAGATTTTTTTATTACCTTCCCCAGCTTCCAAGGCAGGAAACTAAACAATAAGTATCCCAGCCTCAGAAAGGGGGAAAGGATGTTCCCAGAACATGACTTACAACTTAACCATCCCTTTAAGTAATAAACTGGTAATTAGTGGTAGTTTATGATGAAGACTACCCTGTTTCTCCAACAATACGGCCTCCCCCAATAGGAAGTCCCAGCATGTTTGATAGGCATGAAATGAAATTAAGCCCCTCCCCCCAAATTAAGGCCTATATTAAAACATGCGAAATGGAGGGGAAATGGCGGGGGGGCTTGCCGTTAGGAAGTACTTTTGTTGCACACCTGGATATGGTGCTGCCTGCGTTGACCCCGATACGAAGTGCCCCACCAACACCGAGGTCAACATCCAAACCGTCGCCTCCCACCCACCCAAAGATGCAAGGGGGGGGGAATTAAGTCACCCCCGAAAAGACGGCCTAGCTATTTTTTCAGGGCTCAAAAAAAAAATAAGACCCGGCCTTATTATATGAGAAACACGGTATTTGCATATAGTGGACTTTAAAGAAATGGGATAGAAAGAGAGTATTGCTACTTTTGAACTCTGATGTTGGAGAAGACTCCTGAGAATATCATGAATAGCCAAGAAAACAACCAACCAGGTACAAACAACCAGGCTCAAATTATCCTACTTCAAATCAAAGCAGCTGCAGCAAGGTGAATGGATTCAGTTACAGTGGCAATGGATGGATTGTTGGAAGACCTAAAGCAGAGGTGTCAAACTCACAGCATCATAGCGGCATCATGTGACGCATTGGGACTTCCCCCCTTCACTAAACTGGGTGGGGGCATGGCCAGCACGTGATGCATTTGTCCCACAGGCCGTGAGTTTCACAACTCTGACCTAAAGGAACAAGTTGGGGACAAATCATTCTTGAGAAAATCTATCTGTATGGTCACTTGACAGCATATAATCAGTTGTCATCAATCATGGGAATGAAACAATTATTTAGTTCAAAATTAGAAGACATAAGATTAATGAAAAATAGATCTGAGCATCAGATGTCATTTGTTCAAAATAGAATCTGTAAATTGAATTGGAAGGGCTTCCTTCCTGATAATGACTGATTATGTGCCATCATGTTGACCATACAGATAGATTTTCTCAAGAATAATTTTAAAGATGCAAACATATAATTATAATGAGAGGCTTAATATACATTAGAAAATGTTTGCATCTAAACAAAAATAGAAAACCTTTGCTCCACCCATCTGTATTAACTATGTAGGGCTCCACCCAAGTGTATAACTCATCCTACTTTCCATCAGTGCCCCACCCACTATCACTTATACCAGGTAGTGTAGAATTCAGTGCAAGAAATTTGGTCTTTACAGAAATTTCATTAAACTTCTCTTATAATATCAGTGAAAGACAATGTACAGTATTTATATCTCCTAATTTTGTTCATTCAACCTTTGCTGTTCACCACTAGGTTGTCTTAGTATCTCCTCCTGAATATTCAGCACACTTTGAACCTAATTCAATACATTTCTTTGAATGTACAATAACTTTCACAACTTTTATTGTTCTCTCTGGTTTACAAATGCAGTGCATGGACATAGATAGCCATAAAAGTTTAATCAAGCTGGCTGAGAGAGGATGACTGTATATTTTGGAAATAAATGGAACTAAATCATTTTGTATAAATGTAATAGGCTTGTACGATGGCAGTGTGCTAAAATGAAATGCAGCAGCAAAATCCAAAGACCTCAGCTTAAGAATGCAACAAATGAAAAAGTATTGTATCACCTTTATTAAGGTATTGTTTTCATTTTGAATAAATTACATTTCCAAATTATTCAAGGCACAACATTATTGATGCTAACAAAAAGTAGCCTTGTTGTGGACAGAACAGCTATTGACACTTAGAGAGAGGTGGGGAGTTTTTTTTTGTTTTTTTTTGGATAACGATTTAGCTAACTTGTTTGAAAATCGAGTTGCTTGGCTAGAGTTAGAACTGCGTTATGGTTTTGCTTTGTATTTATCTCTTTTTAACTGTGTGTTGTCTATATGGAACCTTAGGTTCTTTTGGCAAAAGTTGATTTTTGTTAAATCCTTGTCTTTCTAACGAATGTTTAAACTTGGAAATGAGAAGTTGCCTTGTAGCAACTGTCTTAGTTTGTTTGGCTGAGCTACAGGCTCATCAAGTTTCTGTTTGGGGTTCCTTTCCTTTTCTGCAGACACTTTCGATCCTCTCATGATGAGATCAGATGGGAAGAGAGAAATTGATTTATAGTACAAGGATGGTTACAGAAGGGACCTAATTCGATGCTATTCATTCTCAAGCATGGATCACATCAGAATTGAAGTACTTCAAAGGGAGAGATTGATTTGGACCCGAAGACACTTTTCTTATTACATATGGCCCAGTGTTAGGTCCGGTATTAGGCCATTCAGTGGCACTGCTGGGACTTTAAGAGTATTTAAGTTTTCCTTTCAAAATTCATAATTGACATCAAACACCTTTGCTGTCCTGTTTTTGTTTTTTGTTTTTTGCCTTGGGGTAATTCAAAACAGCTCCTGGGTTGCTTTCTGTGTTGCAATCACAGATTTCTCAATATATGAATGCACTTTATCCTCCTTGAAGCAGTATTCCTAAAAGTTATTTAGGGACACGTTTATTCGTTTTTCACTCATAAGAGATAAAATCCAAATGTTTGGGGTACAAGAATGGAAATTATATAAAAATAATATTCTGCTGCTGACCTGAAAAGTGACATAAATAAAGCTGCTTTATAGCTCAAAGTAAAACTGCTCCCCGTGTGCAAACCAGAATTATGCAGAATGTCAATTAAATCAACTGTAATCTCCCAGATACATTTTTTATTGCTGGATTCATTAGAAAGGCTCTTAAGGTAATGAATAGTCGTCACTTTTACCAAGGACTGCTGATTCCTTTATAAATGATGACCACTAAAAATGCAGAAGAGACATTTTAAAATCTGGCTATATTTACACTCTGCCTTTATACTTGAAGTAAAGTAGAATTTAGTATGACCTGACATATTATAAAAATCACTACCAGACATCAGCTCTGTACTTTAGGACACTTGCATTTCAGAAAACTTGTTTTAAGGTTGCATAATAAAGCAGTATTAAAAAAAGCACAAAATCAGATAATTTGTTTTTTTTATCAAATTCGACAAATCTATTCTTTATAATGTATTTTGCTTTTTTTTTCTTATAGCAAGTCCACACGCAACACCATCGACTCTTCATTTTCCAACATCACCCATTATTCAACAGCCTGGGCCATACTTCTCACACCCAGCAATTCGCTATCATCCTCAGGAGACTCTGAAAGAGTTTGTCCAACTTGTCTGCCCGGACGCTGGTCAGCAGGCTGGACAGGTGGGGTTCCTAAATGTAAGGAAGCTGTTTCTACTTTTTTTTCCCCCAGAAGTTTTGTTTCTATAACCATGGAATGATATGAACAGATTTGTACACAAGAGAAAATCATTATCTCGTTAGGGGGCATAAACCAGCCCGAGTTAAATGTGTTTCATTCATGTTGATTATGGTGGGAGTTAATATCATTTAAGTTGTCTTTATTCGGCTACCTTGTGCCCTTCTACATGCTAGAATTTAATTAATTTTTGCCAGTAATGAAAACTACTAAATTTTGATGTAAGTGATTTAGCACAACATGCCAGAGGTAGTCCTCAACTTACGATCACAATTGAGCCCAAAATTTCTGTTGCTAAGGGAGACATTTGTTAAGTGAGTTTTGCCCCATTTTACCACCTTTCTTGCCAAGTTGTTAACTGAATCACTACAGTTGGTAGGTTAGTAACCCGCTTGTTAAGCAAATCTGGCTTCCCCATTGACTTTGCTTGTCAGAAGGGGATCCCCTGACCTTGGGACACAGCAATGGTCACGAATATGAGCCAATTGCCAAGCATCTGAATTTTGATCACGTGATCATGGCGTTACTGCAAAGGTCATAACCAGAGGTGGTATTCAGCAGGTTCTGACCAGTTTTGGAAAACCGGTAGCAGAAATTTTGAGTAGTTCGGAGAACCGGCAAATACCACCTCTGACTGGCCCCACCCCATTTATTCTCTGCCTCCCGAGTCCTAGCTGATCGGCTGGGTCTTCTTTTGTTGCCCTGCACAGGAGAATGAAGCTGGGTTAGTGGGGTGGGAAGGGATGAGATTTTGCAGTAACCTTTCCCCAAGAGTGGGGAGGGAATGGGATTTTGCAGTAACCTCCCCCTGCCATGCCCACCAAGCCACGCCCACAGAACGGTTAGTAAAAAATTTGAATCCCACCACTGGTCGTAACTGTGAAAAACTGTACTGTCATATTTTTCAATGCCATTGTAACTTTGAATGGTCATTAAATGAACTGTTGTAAGATGAGGACTATCTGTATTTATTATATTATTATATTATATTATATTATATTATATTATATTATATTATATTATA